GTGTCGTAAAAGATTAACTAACATTACAACGAATTAAAGACGTAGATTTTATTTATAAAACAATACGTAGTTGGACACAATACACATCTTATTTGTTGTTACATATCTCAAATAGGTACCTATAAAAAAACTTTGTCATTCGTGAGAATTTAGATATCACAAGTTTCAAGATCAGAAAGCCGCCATGTTGTAAAGATTTAATTATAACTTTTTACACATAATATTTGTACACATTATGTGCCTACTTTCATTATTTTTCTTGTTTTCTTGATAAAGCTATCGGTATCGTTAGTCATTTATTTCAAGTGCTCGCGTAATGTACCGTAATTCAAGACCGAACGTGAATTACAAACTGGTTGTATCACTATAGAGATTACATTATATTGCCATAAAAAGCTACTTAATTGAATTCTGGCAACGCAAGCTTTATATTTTACTAGCTTTTACCCGCGGCTTCGCTCGCGTCACAAAAGGATAAAAAGTAGCCTATGTGACATATACCGATACACACAGCGCCATCTGTACCAATAATTTTGTTTTCCCTCGGGAATATCAAATTTTTCCGGGATAAAAATATATACTAATGTAGCACAAAACTCGCCACTACGACGAATATGCTCAGAATATAACGACCGTTGCGGGGACTCCGATGACTTGGACATCTTTCACGATTCGCTTCACGTGTTTAGGAATAAAGTAGTTAAAACATTTAAGTAGTATTATTAGATTGCTTTTAATTATTATTGTTATTTTATTTTTGTTTGCTTTGATTTTTTTTTGTCTTTACTAATATAATTGTACATGGAATTTATGATCCCGTGAGTGTTGTGTACATCTGTCACTGGTATACATATCAGAATTTTTTAAATTTTGTATTCAACTGTATTATGGCTAGTGTATAATATATTATATAATAACTGTTGATGTGCCTTTAATAAATAAATAAGTAAATAAATAAAAAATACCCTATTATTTAATTCAGACTTATAACTTTACGTCTGCAAAAATTCAAAGCAATCGGTTTAGTAGTTACGGCGTGAAAGCGGAACAAACAAACAAACTCACTTTCCGATTTATAATATAAGGAAGAAGTAAGGATTAGTATTAGTATTAGTAAGAATATTGTAAGCTTCTTTTACACTAGATGGACAAATGTCTTTACGCTGAAACTACTTTTACGCCAGTAAGCAATATAATATAATACTGACATACCTACATCTATATACCTATATAATATCATAATACCGAAAGTTTGTGAGGATATATGTGTGTGTGTGTGTGTGTGTTTGTTCGGTACACGTCAAAACTGCTGAAGAAATCGAGATGGAATTTCTAACAGGGGTAGATTATAATCTGGAATAACACAGGGGCCATTTTTTATTTTTAGAAGGTAGTATGTACATATTTGTGTTTTTTTTTAAGGGGGGAAAATCATCGAATGACTGCTCCCGCCTGGGTGAGGCGGGAGGGAGTGTCAGACTCTTACTGACTAAAAACCACCCCGTTCCTTCTCCTGTACGTCGAGCCGGAGCCCCGGTTACCTGTTAGGTTCTCCGTGACACGACACGACACGCGTACATATTTGTGTAGGGTACAAGCTACATGTTATATTTTTTTTATTTTCTTATAAATTAACATTATTGGTATTTAAAGCGTAAATTCGCTAGGTGGTCACTCTCGTCTATGTCCAATAAATTCCGTAACCGTTTTTGACATAGTACTATGCAAATAAAAAGGAGGGACGCAGTAATGGGAAATAATAAGGAGCATAATTATAACTACAAAATGAACTGTTGTGTAATAGAAAATTCAGGCTCACAACAAACCAACGAGTCGTTAATAACCATAACGCAAAACACAATAACAATAATTACAATTCACAATTTTTTGACAATACATCATTATAATAACAATAATTATTATCATTATACCAAGCCCGAACTTTAACAATCAAGGTCAGCATGAATGGCTGTCAGTTAACGTCGCTTGATGCGCAAGCGCAGGTCCCACGGCGCACGATCGTTCATCCCCTTCAACCTTGACGATTGGGTTCAAATGACGGGCTTACACGTGGCAAGCTTAAAGGTACGTTCCATAAGCACCTTGGGCCGTCAAAAACTTGCTGATTGATTTATGTTTTTCCTAAGAATGTACATAACATATTGACTTCTTAGGAAAAATGTAACCAAATAATTTTATTTTTTTTAATAGTTATATGTATTTTCCTATCAGCTACATTTATTATCGTGTGTTTTATCTTGAATGAATGAGGGATTTCCGTGCAATTAGTGGTAATTAGTCATAGTTGTATATTGTGTCATTTCCTTCCTTTCAACATTGGTTGCAGGCAATGTAGGTATACTTTGTCTGTATGTACCATGTACCTAATGGTCTATTTAAAAGATTCAGAAGATACTTCAGAATCCGACTTCTTAACATAGGTATATCGAAGGGTTAATTTATTTATTGTTTTCCTTTTAAATTGAGAATGAATCTATTAATTCATATCTAATGGTGTTCAATGCGCATGATACACAACCTACAGGTAAATCAGGCAGTTATTAGTCCAACGATTTTTTTTGATTTCCGAATGAATTTATTGTTAGTTACCTACTTCAATGAATCAAGTTATCTGTAGCAAATGAATTAGAAAAAACCAGTTAAATGATAATAAATGGAGTACTATGCAATTTACTTTAATTTATTTACTTAGATAATAGAACATAATTTTCCTGACTGCACGGTTGGTGCGGTGGCTGGGCAACCGGCTACCGTGCAACGTGTTGCGGGTTCGATTCCCGCACGGGACAACACTTTGTGTGATCCACAAATTGTTGTTTCGGGTCTGGGTGTCATTGTGTATGTGAACTTGTATGTTTGTAAACGCACCCACGACACAGGAGAAAATCCTAGAGTGGGGCAATGTTTTTTTAAAAAAAAAACTTACTACCTATATACTACTACGCTACTATTTAGAAGATGTTAATTCTGTTAAAATTTAGAATTAAATGAATTAAAGAAAAACAATGTTAGTACAATATTTGTTACAAAACAGACACATGTTTCTCAGTCGGCTGATATGTTCACTGAAACCAACACACGATCTAAATAAGCGTGACTGGATGTGATACAAATATTATCTCACTGCCTACTTATTATATCTGTTAGAGTAATTAAACTCCACCTTAAATCCTTGAACTTGTTGCTTAAGGTCATGCGCCACGTGATTATAGAAACCATTCAATAGGAACCCTTCCGACCTTAGAATTTATTTAAAATTACGAGGTCAAAAGCATAAAGGGACAACCAGTTTTATCAAAATAGGCATTATATAATTATATAACCTACAGAATATTTTATGTGCACATAAAAGCTTGGAGTCACACCCCTATTGTGTCTTAAGTTAACTTACATAAATACTAAAATTGAATGCAGATATGCACAATGGTCCTCAGTTATGCAAATCTCAGTTATACAATCCATTCAGTGCGAATTTGAATAGGGAACGTTAAATACTTTTTTTATTATTTTTCAGATAAGGGTCTTTTGAATTCGAAAGTAACGACCCCAACTGGACTAAGCCAGGGTTATTTAAGTGAGTTAGTTCTTTCTTTGTAGGGTGAATAATACTAACAGACATAATATGTATGTAGTACTGTAAAAGATCCTTTTGAAAGTATTGAATTGAGAGAATTTTCTGAGCTTGAAACCAGTCGGGTAATCCCGAAATCAATGCTGTTGCTGCTGCTCACAGCTGTCACAAAATTACTCAACTATGTATGTGATTCCTTTCGTAACCTGAAATTGATACAACGTGTGGCGGAGGCCCGAGTGGTCGCAAGCACGACTGCCGGGCAAGGGGTCTCGGGATCAATTTCCGGGACGGGCAAAGTATTACTGAGGTTTTAAAAAAAATCTCAGTAGTAGAACGGCGCTTGCAATTACGCCCGATATATGACAATAGGCTCACCCCCAATTACATGGGACTTATAACATAAATTAGTGAAAAGTGGGTGTTACATTGTAGTGGCTTAAGTGCCATAATGTGCACCCCTGCCCCTCACCCCTTCAGGGTTAAAATCGTGATATTTATTTATTTATTTAATTTCATATTATAGTAACTAGTATTCACATAGCACAGATAGACAATTAAAAACAGCACAAACTATTGTTTTATAAATATTCATTTTATTGATATTTAATTGTAAACCTACTTATATAACTGAATAATTACAAACTAAAAATAACTATTTACAATAAGTAAAAACTCATTAACATTAATGTTTACGTTGCCCAGAAGGCCACTTGTACCTTGTATGGCAATGCTTAAACTCTCGTCTGAAGATCAGGCCAGCTCTCTGATTATAGATAAGTTTTGGCTCCATATAGGAGTCGGGATCCATGTTAAGGCACTAATTGTAACATTGTAAAAATAAGCTAAACAAATTGAACAGTTCTTAAGACAACATTCGTTACAAAATAATATACCTACTTAATTACGAATTTACATACATCCAATAAAATAATATTACTGTCTTTGAATAATTAATATTACTCAACATTTGGTTGAAATAACAAATTAGAAGTAACAAAACTTTATCATTCATACACATTCATGACCGATCAACGATTTATATGAGCACCAAAATAGCAGTATGATATACAAATAACATTATTATTATATGTGTAGATAAACACATTATATATATTCCTAAATTATCTGTTGGGTTGGTTTATAAGATCAATGAAAATATATTTTAATTAAGACCACCTGGCGGCTGAAAATAGATTAACGGGTATTCGATTCAGAGAGATCGAATTTTATAAGATATTGTTGATTATTTATGTGGAATAGACAAGCCATGAAAATCTTGCGAGATTCGCAAGAAGAGAAAGAAAAGATAAGATTAAGAGAAGTCGTCGCACCTGGTGAGAACAATTATCCAAACATAGTACCAAGAGGTACTATGTAGAGGTACAGCGAGAACATTTTAAGCCTGATGGATTTATTCGAGATGGAAAATTTACATCACGGACTTGTTCGTGCAATTCGGCGTACGACAGCGCATGTGTATAGGAAACCTTCTGGCAAGAATGGAACTATTCTTATTTATCTCAAATTTAATGAATAATTAAGAATTTCGCATGCCCGAAGCTGAATATATTCCAGGTTTGCATGGAAGTCTAGGTTCCACGCATGTTGAAATACTACCTTTTAAATTAGCTCATTTATTTGCGAAACATATTCACAAAGTAATAATGCCAACTTATGATACACAGGGTATGAAAGGGCCTTATATACATATTATATTATATATATTATATGGAGCCCGCACAGTTTGGGCCCGAGAGGTTTATTCGGGATGAAAAATCCGTGATCACAGACATATTTATGCAATTCGGCGTAGGACAGCGCATGTGTATAAGAAACCTTCTGGCAAGAATGGAACTATTCTTATTTATCTCAAATTTAATGAGTTATTAAGAATTGCGCATGTCCGAAGCTGAATATATTCCAGTTTTGGGTTCCACACATGCTTCACTACCTTTCAAATTAGCTCATTTATTTGCAAAACATATTCACAAAATAATAATGACAACTATAGATACACAGATTATGACAAGGCTTTTAAATTATTTAAGCACCCAGAAGATGCGGAAAAAGTGCGATTAGACATAAGAAGTCGACACACCGACCGTTTGCAACTTCCAATATTGAAGCAGTGCTCATTGAAATGACGAGAATCGTATCAATAGTACCATTGGGAATAACACACGAGTATAATTCCGTAAACAGATTAATAATTAGTTTTAGATTATCATTAATTCATGAAATCTCTAAAATCCAGAGAAAAACAATTTATGGCAGAGAGGTTCAATTATTTGATGTAAAATACACATGGAATTAAGTACTTTGACTTGAATCAAGGGAAGTCCTCTCTGCAGATATGGAGGCATCACTAACATCATTATTATAAGTCTATGTAATAATGATACTTCACAGACTTGCAATCTAAATATACATATCTTAATACATCTTAGTACAATAATTATTTTCTTAGTGAAACACAAAAACACAAAGACGAAACAAACAAAAAGAGCTCATAAAAATGACCAAATTGAATCAAGGGAAGTGTTCTCCGCAGGAATGGAGGCATCACTAACATCATTACTATGAGTCTAGGTAATGATGATAAAACACTCAGTAGTTGGTAAATGTGGCCAGCCAGAATATTTCAAGCCCGCGTGATTTATTCCTGGTGGACAATACTAAGAAATAAAAGATTTCATTACTTCACAGACTTGCAATCTAAGTATACATGTCTTAATACATGTTTATTATATATAAATAAATAAAATAAATAAATGCTCCAAATGCTTCAAATGTTTAGTGCCAGAGTACAATAATTATTTTATTAGTGAAACAGATAAACACAAAGATGAAACAAGTGAGAAACTGTTTAGAATTAGACTAAAACTAGAATATACTAATAGAATGCCTACATGGTGACATCATTTTCAAGATTTTTAAATTAAACCTTCAAACCTTCACCACCACGGACATGTCCATGCCATTCGGTATCGGACAGCGCATGTGTATAGGAAACCTTCTGGCAAGAATGGAACTATTTTTATTATTCCCAAATTTAATGAATAATTAAGAATTCTGCATGCCCGAAGCTGAATATATTCCAGGTTTGCATGGAATTCTAGGTTCCACGATGTTGAAGTACTACATTTCAAATTAGCTCATTTATTTGCGAAACATATTCACAAAGTAATAATGCCAACTTATGATACACCGGGTATGAAAGGGCCTTATATATACATATTATAACATAACATAACATCACGCCTTTTATCCCCGAAGGGGTAGGCAGAGGTGTACATTATGCAACTGTACAATGTAACACCCACTTTTCACTATTTATGTTATTAGTCCCATGTAATAGGGGGTGAGCCTATTGCCATATACTGGGCACAATTCCAGACTCCGTGCTACTACTGAAATTTTATAAAAACCCAGTAGTACTTCGCCCGACCCGGGAATCGAACCCGAGACCCCTTGACCGGCAGTCGCACTTGCAACCTATATATAATATAATATATATACATATTATATTATATATATTTATGGAGCCCGAACAGTTTAGGGCTGAAAGGTTTATTAGGGATGAAAAATCCGTTATCACAGACATATTCATGCAATTTGGCATAGAACAGCGCATGTGTGTAAGAAACCTTCTGGCAAGAATGGGACTATTTTATTATTCTCAAATTAAATGAATAATTAAAAATTCTGCAAGCCCGAATACCGATACACAGAGAAGGACAGGGCTATTAAATTATATAAACTGTCAAACACCAAGCGGTCACCGGTGACCGCAACCTATTGTTCTTTAATTGTGTCTATAAAAACGGTACTCGACGAGTTAAGCACCCAGAAGATGCGGAAAAAGTGCGATTAGACCTAAGAGAAGACTACACACCGACCGCTTGCAACTTCCAATATTGAAGCGGTGCTCATTGAAATGACGAGAATCATATCAATAGTACCTACTAATGGGAATAACACATATTAAAACTGTATAATTCCTAATGAAACTTGAACAAATCAATAGTTTTAGATTAGTATGAATTAATGGAATGTCTATTGCTTTCCTGAAATGAGCAAATTCCATAAAGAGGAACCCAGTCACGCAAGTTTAATTTTGTGATCTGTTCTCAGCTGGTATGGAGACATCATTAACATTATTATTGTGAATCTATGCAATGATGATTAAACACCCTGGTTGCAGAAAGAGTGTAAGTAGATCTAAGGGAAGACGAAAGATTGAACATAATCAGAAAATATATTATCAAAACAAAAAAGTTTTTGGCCATAACTAGTTTTCAGTTTCGAGGTGGTCCAACTTATTTACCGTGGTCTCCAAACTAAGTAGGTATTAAGTAACTAAGTATTAATATGTAATACTTCTGTTTGTGGACGAATATTAATTTACAAATACATATATAATTTACACACATTGATAAATAAATAAAATAAAACCTCACCACGCGATATCTGGCTAAAAGAAACACCGAGCATAAGCTTCAAGTTCAAATCTTGAATGAGGAGACTTTGCAAACGAACGACAGTCGCAAGAAGAGAAAGAAAAGAGAAGATTAAGAGAAGTCGTCGCACCTGGTGAGAACAAACATCCAAATATAGTACCAAGAGGTACAATGTAGAGGTAGAGCGAGAACATTTTAAGCCTGATGGATTTATCCGAGGTGGAAAATTTACCATCACGGACTTGTTCGTGCAATTCGGCGTACGACAGCGCATGTGTATAGGAAACCTTCTGGCAAGAATGGAACTATTCTTATTTATCTCAAATTTAATGAATAATTAAGAATTCCGCATGCCTGAAGCTGAATATATTCCAGGTTTGCATGGAATTATAGGTTCCACGCATGTTGAAATACTACCTTTTAAATTAGCTCATTTATTTGCGAAACATATTCACAAAGTAATAATGCCAACTTATGATACACAAGGTATAAAAGGACCTTATATACATATTATATTATATATATTATATGGAGCCCGAAAAGTTTGGGGCCGAGAGGTTTATTCGGGATGAAAAATCCGTGATCACAGACATATTCATGTAATTTGGCATAGAACAGCGCATGTGTATAGGAAACCTTCTGGCAAGAATGGAACTATTCTTATTTATATCAAATTTAATGAGTAATTAAGAATTGCGCATGTCCGAAGCTGAATATATTCCAGTTTTGGGTTCCACTCATGCTTCACTACCTTTCAAATTAGCTCATTTATTTGCAAAACATATTCACAAAATAATAATGACAACTATAGATACACAGATTATGACAAGGCTTTTAAATTATTTAAGCATCCAGAAGATGCGGAAAAAGTGCGATTAGACCTAAGAGAAGTCTACACACCAACCGCTTGCAACTTCCAATATTGAAGCGGTGCTCATTGAAATGACGAGAATCGTATCAATAGTACCATTGGGAATAACACACGAGTATAATTCCGTAAACAGATTAATAATTAGTTTTAGATTATCATTAATTCATGAAATCTCTAAAATCCAGAGAAAAACAATTTATGCCATAGAGGTTCAATTATTTGATGTAAAATACACATAGAATTTTAAGTACTTCGACTTGAATCAAGGGAAGTCCTCTCTGCAGGTATGGAGGCATCACTAACATCATTATTATAAGTCTATGTAATAATGATACTTCACAGACTTGCAATCTAAGTATACATATCTTAATACATCTTAGTACAATAATTATTTTCTTAGTGAAACACAAAAACACAAAGACGAAACAAACAAACGGAGCTCATAAAAATGACCAAATTGAATCAAGGGAAGTGTTCTCCGCAGGCATGGAGGCATCACTAACATCATTACTACGAGTCTAGGTAATGATGATAAAACACTCAGTAGTTGGTAAATGTGGCCAGCCAGAATATTTCAAGCCCGAGGGATTTATTCTTGGTGGACAATACTAAGAAATAAAAGATTTCATTACTTCACAGACTTGCAATCTAAGTATACATGTCTTAATACATGTTTATTATATATAAATAAATAAAATAAATAAATGCTCCAAATGCTTCAAATGTTTAGTGCCAGAGTACAATAATTATTTTATTAGTGAAACAGATAAACACAAAGATGAAACAAGTGAGAAACTGTTTGGAATTAGACTAAAACTAGAATATACTAATAGAATGCCTACATGGTGACATCATTTTCAAGATTTTTAAATTAAACCTTCAAACCTTCACCACCACGGACATGTCCATGCCATTCGGTATCGGACAGCGGATGTGTATAGGAAACCTTCTGGCAAGAATGGAACTATTTTTATTATTCCCAAATTTAATGAATAATTAAGAATTCTGCATGCCCGAAGCTGAATATATTCCAGGTTTGCATGGAATTCTAGGTTCCACGATGTTGAAGTACTACATTTCAAATTAGCTCATTTATTTGCGAAACATATTCACAAAGTAATAATGCCAACTTATGATACACCGGGTATGAAAGGGCCTTATATATATATATTATATTATATATATTTATGGAGCCCGAACAGTTTAGGGCTGAAAGGTTTATTAGGGATGAAAAATCCGTTATCACAGACATATTCATGCAATTTGGCATAGAACAGCGCATGTGTGTAAGAAACCTTCTGGCAAGAATGGGACTATTTTTATTATTCTCAAATTTAATGAATAATTAAGAATTCTGCAAGCCCGAATACCGATACACAGAGAAGGACAGGGCTATTAAATTATTTAAGCACCCAGAAGATGCGGAAAAAGTGCGATTAGACCTAAGAGAAGTCGACACACCGACCGCTTGCAACTTCCAATATTGAAGCGGTGCTCATTGAAATTACGAGAATCGTATCAATAGTACCTACCATTGGGAATAACACATATCAAAACTGTATAATTCCTAATGAAACTTGAACAAACAAATAGTTTTAGATTAGTATGAATTAATGGAATGTCTATTGCTTTCCTGAAATGAGCAAATTCCATAAAGAGGAACCCAGTCACGCAAGTTTAATTTTGTGATCTGTTCTCAGCTGGTATGGAGACATCATTAACATTATTATTGTGAATCTATGCAATGATGATTAAACACCCTGGTTGCAGAAAGAGTGTAAGTAGATCTAAGGGAAGACGAAAGATTGAACATAATCAGAAAATATATTATCAAAACAAAAAAGTTTTTGGCCATAACTAGTTTTCAGTTTCGAGATGGTCCAACTTATTTACCGTGGTCTCCAAACTAAGTAGGTATTAAGTAACTAAGTATTAGTATGTAATACTTCCGTTTGTGGACGAATATTAATTTACAAATATATAATTTACACACATTGATAAATAAATAAAATAAAACCTCACCACGCGATATCTGGCTAAAAGAAACACCGAGCATAAACTTCAAGTTCAAATCTTGAATGAGGTTATTTTGCAAACGAACGACATTCGCTGTCTTATCCTAATTTTTTTGTGGCACATAGCACAGAGAACCTACGGTCAATTGGGTATAAAGGTTCTCAAATGAAGTCACATACTAAATGAAGAGCAGGATGTTCAACCGTAAGTTAGACACGATCTGATAAAGTTTACAAGAAGCCGCTGCATACAGTTTACTTTCCACCAACCGATCTGGAAGTCATTCAGAAAACACTGTTCAGCAATGGATGTTGCTCCATATGGTATCATTATATCGTTGGCTGCTGGGTCGACACATTTATCAGTATTCCATTACCTGAAAAAAATAAACATTTTTAGAATTTGATTTCAAGTGTTTAGTATACCTCTAGTGTATTAGATAGTTTAAATTACAAAATCATATGAACTGGAAACAATTTTCTGTTTAGATAAAATGATGAAATATCCAAGTTGTTAAAAAGATTTACAATGTAGACTCAACTTTTGTAAAGCAAAACTATTTTGCATTTTTATACCTACATAGTTAAAATAGGTAAGAGCTTACACAGTATTCACATCCATGGTTCGCATTTTATGATTCCGATGACTATTGCTGTTTTCAGTCCACCTGTACTTATTTTGCAATCTGAGTGATGATGAACATCATGACACAGGTCTATGACAACAAAATGATGTTATTGATGTCTCCATACCAGCTGAAAATAGATCACTGATGATCTGTAATGTGTGCTGAAAAAGGAATCAATGTTTTATTTTCAACAAATTTTCAATGAGAATTGCTTTATGAAGGTTGTCTAGTTAAATTATTTAATGATAATTACCGGGTTCAACATCGTTTTTATAACCAGTCTTGTTAGTTTTGAGATATGTTTATATAGGGCTTATATACAAATTGTATCTCTATATCCAAACCTATCTATCTCTACCTCTATATTAATGAACTACTTTGAAAGGTAGCAGCATGTGTGAAATCTCCAAATTCCATGAAAGTTTCTGAAATTTTCTCGGTATGAAAATCAATGAGAATTGCTTTATATTAATCGTTGTTATAGTTAAATTATTTAATAATAATTATTGTGTAACATCAGGGAATAAATCATGCTACTCGTTTTTGGATTATACCCGTTTTTCAGCTTCTAGGTGTTCGAGTTAGAAGTCCAGCAAGTCGGCTGGCTGGCGGGGCTCCGAAGACTGCTGTTGCTGAATAGTTTATATAATTAATCACTGGATTTTTGTGGCAATTCTGAAATAGAATTCACTTAATTGGTATATAATGTTTAAAAGGGGAGCATTTTGTGTCATACTGGTTAACTTACATCTAATAATTTAGCAAAAAAGTATATTAAAAAAGAAAAAAATTGAATAGGTCCAAAAATCGCACCAAAAAGTTATCCTCATAATTGTCATGAGGTAAGGTCCCCAAAAGGCTGGCAGCATTACCACGTTGGATGGCAAAGAAAATAAATATATTTTAGAATCGTGAATAAATCTGGGTAGTAAGACTAGTATAGAAGGTAATACGATAAAATTGAAATGTAGGTAGTAGTAGCCGATTCCATAAATTAAGGTATTTTATTTTTAAATGAATTAATTATTAGTACCTACTTAATAAATTTTAACGATTATACTTTATTGATATATAAGATTAAATTGTTGTTTGTACAGACGGAAAAGACTACCACTATATTCTACCTACTATATTCATCGAGCAATACGGTAGTTGAGAGGTAGTCAAATTAAATACTTTTATGGAAATGTCAATAACTATACTTTTCTATTAATTTTGTTTTGGATCGCAACTTATGACGTCATCATATTTCTGCGTCAAATACCATACTGATTTCTTTAAAATTAGCGAGAAAAATCCAAAGTAGGTAAATTGTCGAATCAATTTTAAACTGTCAAACATCGCGAGGACACCGGTGACCGCAACCAGTTCTTTAATTGTGTCTATAATGACGGTACTCAAAGGGTTAATTATTTATTGGATTGAAAAGTTGAAACAATCTATTTTAAACCTAGGAAACTAGCCAATTCTACATACTAGGTCCGAAATAAAAATAGATATCAATCCGATTTTAATCCAGACACTGGATTAGAGTGAGTTATTAATTTCCACCAGTAATCGGAAAAAAATAAAATACATAATTTTATGTTTAATAGCGACACAGAATAGTCCTTTATAATAATATTAGAAACTTACCACAACTTAGACTGCTCACGATAAAATATTAAAATTAAATTGTTACTTATTAACTAAAAATGTTACACTTATACCTTACTTATTTACACAAAGCAAACGAGCAAATAATTTTGTGTCCAAAGGTTTCACTATTTATAAGGGAAATATATATATATCAGAAGGTATCTCAAAATAATTTCGTTTAATAGCATGGAGTATGAAGATTAGGAGTGCTACGTTCATATACAAAAGTATCCAATAAGTAAAAACGACCAAACTTTATAACCGATCGTAATCTAAAATCTATGAATCAATATAAGTAAGCTTTTGACAAAAAACTCCATATATCAAATAAATCATTAAAATTATGGTTAAGTACTGTAACCACTGTTGCAAAAGGGTGAATCGCATTTGTGCAATATACGCCTATCTGAACGAACTTTGCTAATAATAGAGATATTAGGTATCTTTGTGTGGTCCTAAAATTGTACCTGGGTGTGATGTGTACCAAATGCACTAATAGAAATGCAACAATAGCGCCACCTAATTAAGCAGTTCGGTAGATGTTAACTTTCATTAGCGTGAACATGGCCCTCCATTCTTCCATACTCCATGTACTACAGATATTGGTTAATATAAATACCCTCAACTTTGTTAAAATAAGAAAATTTTCCATCGACTTATAACAGTCTAGTTAGTTTCTAGATAATATATCTACCTATAGCTTATATACGAATTCTATCTCTATACAGGCCAAGTCAATCAATTTGGAGCCTGCAATTAGAACTCAGAGATTTGACGAGACCCATCAAGGACGATTTATGCCTCTCGATACCGAAATTAAAAGATACCTGCAGAAATACTAAGTCAGCTTGTAAATAATGTTAATACCTAGCTGTTTATATAATTCCGTCACGCGTTGTATTATAGTGACCTTCACAGTTGATTCCCCGACAATAGAGGTTGTTGACATATATAATACTGGCACATATTTTAGAACGTAAGCGACTTATCTGCGCCATTCGCGCGCTTTTTTTAGGTAACTGGTCTACGTAATACAGGTCTATGACCTCAATACGGGAACTTGGACTTTTTATGGGGTCATAACCTGATTCAAGGCTGGTATAGTGCACTTGTACACTTAGATATTTATATAATGTGCATCAGATGTAGGTACACTGCATGTTCTAAGAATACCTGTAAATATCATAGTTCACGCGCTCGGGGAAGTTCAAGATCACGGGTAATCAGGCGCGTGACGTCATCACAACAATGCTGCAGGAGTTCTGATGGGAATTAATTAGGTCGATGATGTTAATAATGCGGAAACTGTTCACTATGAGAATAAATAGACAATGTTACGTAACAAGGGCGTCTTGCGTAACTTATCATTGAACAGCCACTTATACGAGTTTATACTTGAAAAAGATCAATGCACCCACGTATTTATCATATAATTATAAATATTTACTAACTTAATAGTAGCACACCTAATTTATATGCACTCGTAGTTTTATATGCGTAGTTAGGAACCAGTATATATATTCTGCTAGATAATTACAATTTCAAAATGAATGACAGAATAATATGAGTGTCCTATATACTAACTAAATATTAATAATTTGTTTTAAAGATTAGTAAACAATAGTGTGAGTATTTGTATGTGTAGTGCAACAACGCATAGGTATATCAAAAAGAAGAATATCAAAGAAGAAAAGCAAAATGTAAAAGTTAAAAAAACCTTGATAAAATAAATATTAAGAACAATATTTGTCAAAACTTGTGAAAAACCTAACTTTACCCTCACTTTTTATTTTATGACGGTGCCTGATTACTTTCAATAGTAATTATAGAGTTCTTTCATAGCAATTGGTAATTCAATTTACGTCGATTTAATTATCACTTAGGATGGGAATATCATAAGATTGGTAAAAAGAAATCTAAGTTTTTTTTTGTTACAGACATTCAAAAAATTATTGAAAATATTTATAATTCGCTATGAAAACTCATCTCCAATCTGAAATAAAAAAAAGCTGTTTCTATCCATAGTTGAATAGATGGCGGTGCAATCGGTTTCTGGATGAAACTGTTAAAAATATTGTAAAATTAAAGTCAAACATCTGAACTATGTACGCAGGTACTACTAAAACTGTAACACTTATTTCCGAATTATAATTATATTACTTTGTTCTTCAAAGTACCTATGCAAAGTAAAAAAACATTATAATTTCCAAAGACGTTGAAAAAAAGGCGAACATCGTGTCTTGATACAATGAGTGTGGCACCTGGCTATTATAGAATTACACGCAAAATACACATACATTGACACGAAGGACATCTGTCGCGTGGCACGGCACGTTATTACACTTCATACACTGATATTTTGGTGCTTCAATCATTTCGAAGTGATATTACCTACGTCCTTGGTAATTTTTCATTATAAAACGTTGTGCAAAACTTGATAACGACTATCAATTCGGTGCTCACTATATTGCACTAACATAGCCTAAAGTTCTGTTTGTCCAATCATTGTAACTGGCAAAAAAATGATTATCCAATGGTTTCACACTAGATATGTATAAGAATTTCTATTGGGCAACAGATATTCCTCTGCGGAATTTACGTAGTTAGTAGTCTTTATCGGTTGGACGATTAGTGCCCACTATTAAATGTATGAATTTAATTTCCAAGTTGCTCATGGCTTTGTTAAAATAGTTAATTTGTTTTAGTTCAGTTCAGTCATATAAATAGGCCTGATATAGGGATAATATTAATAAAATTGGAACAAGAGGTCTGGAAATCAAATGGATCAACCTCTCGAAACATGCTACTTAACTTATATTATTATATTTAAATAATATTATATGGTAATTAATGTCTACGTAAGAAGGACTTCAATAGCATTGAAACAAGAAATTAAAATAGGAAGCATTTATTTACTTGTAATCAGAGCAACAATGTATAAATTAAAAAAAAGATCTTAAAAGTAATTAACCTTACATAATAACATTACAATGAATTCATATTTGATCACAAGTTAAAAACTTAAATAACTAATATTTTACTCCTTTTTAAGGAACTTAATAATGTAAGCGTTTTCTTACTTAGATACAACTTGAGTACAATAGTACACACAACCCTTATAAACCTTGTTCACGATTGAACAATACTACTGCTAAAGATATTAACAATACAATTTCCTAGGAAGCAAAGCAGTGAAAGTTGTAAAGCCAGTGAATAATGATCTAATCTAACTTATAAATGATTTTCTAAAATCTAAGACTTACATCGTATAATATGCATGGAACATAAGACGGTAAAATGTAAAGGCGGATGAAGGTAAAATTATGAAATTACATAGCTAATCTAAAAATTTTGGTAACAATGGCAAAAATGCACAAAACAATCTTATTATAAAAAACAAACAAAATATCTTAATCTAAAACATTCATTATTAATAATAAGGTACCAAAAGTAGCGCTTAAAAGGCGTAAACTTAAAAATTACAAAGCTGAAAATCAGTATTAATAATGCCTAAATAAGTAAACACAAGCAAAGTCTTACTATTGAATACGTAAGAGATATGCTTCAGGTAACTATAGCGTGTTAGAATTTGAACTTAGGCCTCCAGTTTCTTAAAGACTAATTTAAATGGCAAGGGCGCATGTGTGGCACCTAGAATTCCATCAAAACCTGGAATATCTTCTCCTTCTGGCATGCGGAATTCAAAATTATTCATTATATTAGAGAAAAAAAGAAACAGTTCCATTCTTGCTAGAAGGTTGCCTATGCACATGCGCTGTCCTATCCCAAATTGCATAAATGTGTCTGTGATAACAAATTTTCCGTCCCGAATAAACCTCTCTGGTCTGAACTGTTCGGGCTCCATATAAATGTCGGGGTCCATATTCATGCGGTGGATCAACGGTACAATGTGAGTACCTGCTGGGATCGTGTAATTGCCAATTTTCCATTCCCTGAAAAGAGGAAAATATTTTGTAATGTTTCAGTTTTGTTGTCAATTATAACAATAGGTATAACCATTCAGCTTAATTTCCGAAATTATATGGACTTACGGAATATTTTCGTCTTAATAATTCGGTTCAAATTAATATTGCAAAATGTTATTAAGGTCTAAAATTAATATACTATGAATGTCTTATACTTTAAAATAAAATACTTACGCAGTATTGACGTGCGTCGTTCCTAACGGCACGATTGACACCATCCTCATTGTTTCGATAAGCACAGCTTCGATATATGGCAGTTGCAAGCGGTGAGCCATAGTCACTCGCTCACCAGGTGCTACGACTTCTCTCAAGTCAGCTCGCACCTTTTCTGCAACTTCAGGGTGCTTCATCATCATGATGCAGGTCCATAATAATGATGTCAGAGACGTCTCCATTCCCGCAGAAAACAGATCATTCATGATCTGTACGATTTGTTGTACTGAAAAATAGGTAGAACATAGTAGTATTTTGCTCACTTATATCACACCATTTTAAAATAAGTTTTCCCAGTATAATTTTCAATATCAATGAGAATTACTTTATGTTAAAGGTTGACTAGTTAAATTATTTCGTGATAACTACCTGGTTCAACATCAGGGAATATGTTATGCTTTTCGTTTTTGGTCATTAACTGTTTTTCAGCTTCGAGGTGGTCAAGATAAAAGTCCAGCAAGTCGGCTGGCTGGCGGGGCTCCGAGGACTGTTCACGTTGTTGGATCCTCGCGACAATGTGCTCCTTGTGAAAATTACTCACATCGGCCAAATTCTTTTTGATTTCGTTTATGACAGCCATTTTTCCTGGCAGTTTCTGAAATAGAATTTACTGAATTGTTATAATATTCAAATGAGCATATACTTTTTTACATCACGTAATTACTTTAAATACTTTACAAATTGTACAAAGAGTTCCGGTCCCATACTGTTATTAATTTTCTTTTTTTCTTCTATTTGACCGATGTTCGCAGTCATGTCACAAAAAGGTATGAGAATTAAGAATGTGTCATTTTACTCACCAAGTAGGCCTTAACGTGTTCACCGATGAGTACTAGGCCGAACAGTCTCATACCACGGGAGACCTTTTCATTAAATAACTTGAACTCTGCATCATCAGCCGTGAAACGGAAGCTCATCATGAGCTGGCATATGACGTTATGAATATGTCTTCCAAGTACATGGGCTGGGTTTACAGATTTTCCCTCCGATCGGTTCAGTTCCATCATCAACTCATCGATTTCAACCTGGAAATTTTCACAATTAGTACCCTATCGTGATATTTTTGACTGACATCTTTCAACAAGTTAAATAATTGTTATTCTTACATTTATGTCTCTTTCGAAACGTGTGTTGGGCCAGAGCTTGACACCGAGAGCGCGGAATTTCTCGTGGAGGAACACGCGCTGTCTTTTCCATAGAGAACCTTCACTTGTGATAACACCTGAAATAAATATAGTGTTGCAGGTAAGTGTGTCCATAATTTTAGTTTCGTGTTAATATTTTCGATTAAAGTATACTCCTTACCAAGTCCGCCCAAGAGGTTGTTCAAAGGAGTGTGAGGTCGGCCGGTGGAGTCGTTCCTACTAAAGAACTCCTTCATTAGTTTCGTAGAACCAAGGCATACGGTTAGGTTGCTGCCCATCTGCACGGAGAATACATCTCCATACTTCTTAGCCATATTTAAGTACACCAGATGAGGAGGTCTGCGGTTCAGGAAAGGCAGTATTCCCAGCAGCGGTAATCCCCATGGCCCTAAAAATTTAGACATTTTTGAGTGGATGTGCTATAGTTAGAACTGAACATGAAATAACCGAAAAAATGAAATGATTTGAAGTCTGTGATCAATCAAATTATGCGTAGTGGGTGATTATTATGGTGATTTTTAACACTTACCAGGTGGAAGGCTTTTGTAGTATTTAACATTTTTAAATATTATCCAAAATACTAATGTAGAATACATAAAAATGCGCAAGATTGCGCTGGACAAAAAGTTTATGGCAAGAAAAACAAGAAAATAATAGAAATACATTTTGGAAAAAAATTAAAATAATATTGAATAACAAGAATTAAGCAAAACCTTAAAGAAGTATTTTACTAAAATTAGAATTGGTATTTATATTTAAATTAAAATTTTTTGGTAAGTGGAGGAGGACGCGGCGAAACTTGACCGAGTGTGCAGAATACGGTCGGGCTTTGAATAATGATCCAAGGTGCTCGGCGCCGTTTTATATATGTAAGTACCGGCCGCTGCCATTTTTATCTATCGCGGGTATGAATTGATTTGCTGATAAATAATTCAACTATACATCAACGAGTACAAGAAATATTCGGAGTTCGTTGACCTTCCTTGCTGCAAGGAAAATACGGAATTACGTAGGATATGAGTTGTGATTTTTCTAATTGTTCAGTAAGTACTGGTGTAAAAGATCATGTCTGTATTTTTTAAATGTAGGTACTTGCTATTGTTCATTAAAAATTGCATTCCTTTTACATTAAATAAAATTGTATAATACATTTTATGTTTAATGTTTAACGCTTTTGTGTGTATTTATTTATTTCAGAAAAAAAGATTATGGAAAATTCAGGAAGTTCAGGAAAAACAAGTTTCTTAAGATCGAAAGATTTAGTTTTAATGTAAAAATCGAAAAATTAAGTTATTTGCATATTATAAAATAAATGCAATTTTTTATTAAAATTTTAAAATTTAAGGAATGCTAAATAATATTTTTTTCATTCAATTTATATATTTTATATGTTAGGTACATACATAACTACGTCTAATATTACTACGTACCTATAGGTACTAAATATTTTTTCTTATCTATTTTATTTAGTTAATAAATATATATATTGAACAAATTGCGCATTAAGGGCACGGACCAGTTTGATTAGTAGGTAAATAGGTACATTAAAAGAAACACCAATATTTATTTTTAATTTAATCCATAGACTGTGTTTGTAAGAAGAAAATTATAGATTTGTTAAAATATCTTAATTTATATAAAGGTATTGTAATATACGTTTTTTTGTTAATTGTTTGCTATATATTATATTTGTTCGTAAAAATTCACTTTAAAAAATATAACAATATGTCCTATTTGTCACTGGCTCTTCACGTAATCAGGTAAAAACTTAGGTACTCACCAGTTGTTCCCAAAAATGTTAATAAGCCTGTTTAGTTTAAAAAAAAGTATAATAATGAAAATAAATCACAAAACCACTTTTAAAACTTGAAAATATTAAGATAATAATTATAAGTCCTGAACTTTTATAACTTATAATGAGGACATAAGTTACTTATATTTTGTAACTTATTTTTTTTTGTTCATTTGTAACTCATTTACAATAACTTCAAACACTCATTACAGTCCACTACTTCTGACTGCCCTACGGTAGGCACGCGGGCTGCAGGGCACAGTTTAAAAAATCCAGGTTTATCAGAAGGCACTGCCACTGAATCTCTTTGCAATATGTTCCTTAGTCATCTCGTTGACACCCGCTGGCGGGGTTAGGGGTGGGGGAACATATATACCGTGAACATACGATGTTCACAACAGATACTTAAAAATTAAGTTTCGTCATTTGTTTGCCAGTTGTAGTCTTCTTTTTTTTGAACCTTGGAATTTTCAGCTAGTAAGTCTTAAATTTTAGTTATCTTTATAAGTAGGTCATTCAGGCTTATTAAGATACTAATGATCAGTGCTGAAAAGTAGGTCGAAATGTAAGGACTTTGATGTTTAATTCTAGGGCAAGGTTGATCATTTTAGTATCAAAAACTGTGGATTTTTTTGGTAATTTTGAAAATAGGTACATGTTTTATTATTTAATTATCCTTTCTATATTTTTGAGAGAAGGGTATCAAAATTTAAATGTGTATTTGCATATATTTTTGTAAGTCTAAGATAGGGATCAGTAAAATAATTTGTTTTTAAGTATTTTTAATTAAATAATATTTTGGTACTCTTAACTACGCAGATTATACTATCGATGCATTCAAATGAGGTATGCTGCTGTCATGTTTGTAAATACATATTAAAATTATGATAAATACGTGGGTGCATTGATCTTTTTCAAGTATAAACTCGTATAAGTGGCTGTTCAATGATAAGTTACGCAAGACGCCCTTGTTACGTAACATTGTCTATTTATTCTCATAGTGAACAGTTTCCGCATTATTAACATCATCGACCTAATTAATTCCCATCAGAACTCCTGCAGCATTGTTGTGATGACGTCACGCGCCTTATTACCCGTGATCTTGAACTTCCCCGAGCGCATGAACTATGTAATTTACAGGTATTCTTAGAACATGCAATGTACCTACATCTGATGCACATTATATAAATATCTAAGTGTGCAAGTGCACTGTGCCAACCTTGAACTAGGTTATGACCCCATAAAAAGTCCAAGTTCCCGTATTGAGGTCAAAGACTTGTATTACGTCGAACTGTATTCAAATGTGCAAACAAATATTCCCACAACGTTACCTAAAAAAACTGTGGCGCAGATAAGTCGTTTACGTTCTAAAAATATGAGCCAGTATTATATATGTCAACAACCTCTATTGTAGGGGAATAAACTGTGAAGGTCGCCACATTATAACGTGTGAAGGACTTACATAAGCAGCTATTGAGATTGGATAATAGTTCAACAACCTTTATCGGCACAGTTGTATTCCGGGTTGAACGTTCTGACAAGGACGTTCAATCGCACGTTATGCTCAGCAAATTAAACACGTGGTCGTGCTATCAATTTATTTTATACCTTGTACTTGATAAAATTAAAGTCGATTTTGCTTTATCAACTTAGATTGTCTTAATGATGATGATTAATAGAAATTCTACTACAGTAGTAATTAAGGTATCGGGCGATGAACTTTATAGTGATTTGTTTGGAAGTATGTTAGCTCTCTGGGTCGCTTGAAGACCTTGAAAATTTTTTATACGTTTTGTGCGATGTTTTGGCATGCGTAATCGAGGCAGGTCTTTACACTAAGATTTGCGGTCAACGTACCTGTGGATCGAATTGAATCTCAGATCAAAAAAGATTATAGCTTCACTATCGATTTATTTGAATACAAAGTTCTTGATATCTATTTAGCCCATGGCTGAAACAAATCCTGATTTATTTAATCTGAAGGTTGGATATATTACACTTTTTATTTTTGTTCAATGTATATGGATCTGATAACCGAAAGAACCAAACTATTATTGGATATTTTTATGAGATTTTCCGAATTTTCAAAAGCAACATGAAGCCTGTAATCTCCTTGGTTAGTATTTCTGAGAATAACAGAAATATTATATAAACTGTAATGGTAGTTTTGAAATCATTGTAACTGATAGTATCGTGTCATGACCATATTGACCAGCGATATCAATATTTTTTACTTGTTATTTGTTCTTTATCACATAATTGGTGTTTTTGGTAAATCTCCTTCAATTATTATCTATTAAAATTACGTCAGTGTTACATGACTTCAAGGGGCGATGGCCCACGTGGATCTAAGCACACATTGGCATTGGTTTTTTTTTCTAAAAACCAATTACGTATTTTCTATTATTATTTCGACTTTAATGAATCCAGTGACGTTTATTGCTAAATAAAGAAATGAAAAGGGACTTTACCATAACCTCTACTTCGAAGGACAACTCACCACTTGTCTCGTGACACGCCGCAACTATCGCATGTCTGTCTAACCACGCTACGCATCTAATACGCACCTTTCATATAAATATAAATTTCTTCTTCCTTCAACTTTAAATATTGAGATTTGATTTGACTGAATTACGAATTTAATTATATTTCGTATCACGAACGAGATCTACCAGGAGTAAACAAATAACCTCAAACTATAAGAGTAACAGATACAACAATTATAATACAGATTAAAAATGACTACGTTAATCGGAAGGTAAAACTAAGTCAATGCTCCATAAAAAAACACGATGTTTTTTTGAATTCTCTGCTAAGAAGATTAAGTTAGATTGCTTAGATTTTAGTTCTCTTTAAAAGTAGGTCATTCAAGCTTATTAAACTGTCAAACACCAAGCGGTCACCGGTGACCGCGACCTATTGTTCTTTAATTGTGTCTATAAAACCGGTACTCGACGAGTTAAGATAGATACTAATGATCAGTGCTGAAAAAGAAAAATAGGTCAAAATATAATGGACTTTGATGTTTAATTCTAGGGCAAGGTTGGTCATTTTAGTATCATCATCTGTGGATTTTTTTTTGTCATTTCCAAATTAGGTACATGTTTTATTATTTAATTATTCTTTCTTTGAGACAAGGGTATCAAAAGTCAATGCTCCATAAAAAAAAACACGATGTTTTCAGCTTGCTCGACATTGCACGACCGTCACTTGTTGTAGGTACTGTGCCGACATCTTGAGGCTAAAGACAGCAGCTACGTGATTCATCAGGTGAATCCTAGGTTTATTAAGTATAAAAACATGTATTGTCTATCAACTCAACGTGGCACAGTTGATATTAAAGCGGACGAATTTTTTAATGAACTGTAAATAATTATTGTTAATTTTTTTTTGTTGTTATGTACTAAAAAAACTAACTAATTGAATTAATTATTATTCACATATATTTATTTAAAATTCTCTACAAATTACATTTTTAAATACTACTTATAAAATAAAAAATAATATTTAAAAATATAAAATAATAGGAGCCGACCAGTAGCGGGAGCATGGTCCAAGCTACCGGTTGTTAGGGCTCCAGAGACAGAAAATTATTACCTACATATTTGTTATAGTTTTTGATGTTATTACATACTGATCAACAAAAGATTTAACTGCATTTTTTATATTCCCACTACTTACACATTTTATGTCATTGAAAAATTGTAAACCGAAGAACTGGGTTACATGTATTAGAAATACGATAATGTATAATAATATCTTGATATCCGAATCAGGTGATTAAAGTAAAAGTATAATAAACAGAGGAAAATTTTATCTAACAGGCAATTTGTGTTGATGTAACATAACTGTGTCATTCGCAAACACAAAATT